GATTACGCTGCTGAGAGAGTTCACCTTGAGAGGAGCTGAGGTATATAAATAATATGTCCAACATGCAAGGATGAGTCGAGATCAACCATTAAATCAAAATCAAATTAAACCCGCTCACCACAAAGTACTCTAAGCAGCCTTTGGCAAACAACAATAAGACAAGAATATGTACAAATACTACTGCTTCATGTCAACACTTATGTTTATTGTGGATAAAATATAAAACGTACAGCTTCGGCAGGTTTGTTGGTACTGAATTTGCCTGTATTTTCATTTTTCTTTCCATGTACTGGCTTTTTCTGCACTGGAGTGCATGGCTCTGTTGAGAAGATGGATACAGAGCCAGTGAAGTAGCTCAGCAAAATGTGCCTGCCTTCCATTTCTGTGTTCTATTGTCAGCACTCCATATAAAAACATAAAATATTGAAACGGTCCATTAACATGGGTCAGAAATTGATGGCTGTTCCTCTGTGGGGGAAAAAAAACCCGAAAGTGGTCAAAAAGCATGCTTTGGCTTTGTAGCTTAGAATGCTTGCTTGTGCTTTCTGACACGTACGTGTTTTTAATAATCTGTCTTTACAGATTCTAACCAATGCATTACAGTTGACCTGCAGCATTTATGGGATATTTCAAATATTGAAATACGGGACTGATTTTAAGTACTACTAGTATGACCATAGCAATCATGACTGTAACACAAAAACCTCAGCATTATTGATGTTTTTTATTATTGTGAATGAACCCATATAAGTGGAACACTGATGAAATGCTTTGTAGGACTTTACATATACATTAAATATTATATTCATAGGCATGTTTTCTTTACAGTGTATAATCACCAGAATGTAGTTTCTGTGTTTTGTTACCTTAGAATGAGCTGTTTTTATGTGCAGATGCCAAGGGTCGGCATGCATGAGTCCACTATGTTGACCTACCATGTTTCTACAATAGAAGGGACAAACCAAACACTGGCTCTTGATTGGCACATTCACTTTTTTGGGAGGGTGAAGTGACGGAGTTGCGATCTGCAACTACACCACTGCTGATGCCATTCAATTTTACACACTGGACCTTTAACAAACATACATCACTGTAGACTTTACAACACAGCGGTGCTACTGATTCAGGGAGAAGATAAACAGTTTCCAGGGGATTTACTGTAACTGATTTCTTCTTGGATCGGCTGGACAGATAATGTCCACTAAAATCATCAATTATTCAGCCAACAAACAGTTAAACCTGTTTTTGGTTTGCCCCAAACAAGAATTCTTAAAGCATCTTTGACATGGTAAAATGTCAAGCATGCTTCCTCCTCCTCCTGTGAAGCAGTGTGTCCATCCATTTTCCTTTTACAGGATGTTCATCCGTGTTGCCATGGAGTTCTTGTTTGCGGGTTGAAAAGAGAGTGAAGAGATGAAGAAGAGTGGAAACATAATGTGTCTAATAAAATATTAAGACACATCTCTTTGTGACCACGGCTAAACCACTAAACCCAACCCCCCGGGGGCATCATTTAGAAAATCTTAGGGTATGGCAAGAAGGCAGAAAGGGTGGTGGTGGTGGAGTGGTTAAAGGTGAGATTATAGTTACATATATGTGCCAGAGAAAGTGTAAACACTGCATATTGTATGATGAATGTAACTACACATGCCATCTGTGTCAAAGTCTTTGGGTTTGCATTAGGTCATGAATATTAATCAGCACATTCATTTTAAGACACTGAAATCTCACTCCAGTATTTCATATTATACATAGAGAGAGCACTGTGAGAATCACTGTAAGACATTAGTTTGGTATGCTGTGTGGAAAACACAAACCTCCTCAAATCTTTCAGTTAAATTTAGCTAAGATCACAAGTCAAACACATAAAATTATACTTTTCTGGCAAATCTCAAAAGCCTGCTTCTCAATTTATTTTGGCATTTTCCCTGGATGGAAGTTAGTCACTAAAGGACAGATTTTAGATGATCAAAAATGCCATTAGACAACGTGGATATGGGAACATAATGTGTTGTAGGGGAGCATAATTCTCTATGCCAATAAGGGTCAACTGTTTGCTTGCTCCTTTTTCACTGCCAGCACTTTATGAAAGTTATTGCATAAATTTAATACTGACGGGCTGTCAATTAAACTTAAAAGTCGTTATAGGTCACCTTCTCCAATAACAGTCTGTGTTTCAGCGATGACAAGTATAAGAAGATGTTGCCTCTGACTGCATGTCCCACTTTTTGTTGTTGTTGTTTTTGGGTTTATTTGCACAATTGTGTCAATCTTTGTAAAAGTTGTAATAGCATGTTTGCATTGTGAGACCATAGGTCAGTGTCACTGTGTTTGGCTTTTAGTGCCATAAAGAAAAAAAAGGCAATGCAAAGGAGAGCTTTTCTTCTGTGCAAGTCAGATGATGTTTGTGCTATGAGTGGTTGCTTGGGTCATGTAGGAACAATAAGTGAAGTCATGCTAAATGTCTGGCCTATATGTATTTTTTTCTTCTGTGACGGTCGAGAGCAGGAGAGGAGGGTGAGGAGGAGGAGTGAGGCCAGAGTGTGGCGCTCTTGGCTCTGTTGCCAACGGCTGCCTGGTGCTCCCTGCACCCTTCAGCACACACACATGTTTACACAAACACAGACACATACACAGAAACACTCTACATCTAACAGCCTGGCCTGTCATCTGCTGGCCATCTTTTGAACTGCATCCCTGCCCTCCTTAACAACAACAGCAGCATCTCAACCATACCATGATGCTACCAAATAAAGTAAATAAATACACTACTACAATAATCAATTAAAAAAAATACTCGATTACATGCTGTTGTTGTAACGTAAAAGCTATCCTCAGACAGGTCTGTCATAAAGGAAAAGAAAACACCACACCTCAAATGTGTACTCGCTCTTTCTGAGCCAAAGCTCTGACTCACACCTCCTCGCAGTCTGCTGACAGGGAAACACTGGTTGTCGTGGGTGGATGAATAAGTCTGTGTGGAGGTATTACACTGAAACCTGTTGGAGGTTTGAGTAGGCCACAGTTCCAGGCCCAGAAAACGGCCCTCCGCTAACATTTAAAGTAGTAACTGAGGAGTCAGTAATGTGAGCGTATTTAAGAAGACGTGTAGTATTTAGGAGGGGAATCAATCAGACAATGTCTACAATCTACTGTAAAACTTAAAATTCAAAGCAACCCTTTCAGCCATGCTAGCGACACGGCTGTCCGGATGGTTCTGTATTGGTCGGTATGTCACACCAGGCTGTACTAAGTCAACAAGTCTTCGATCTACATCTACATTGCCAGGAACTTTTGCACACGATACCCAGAGGATCAATCTCAATGACTCTAGTAATCCCCTGACTTTTCTTCGAGCACCACCAGCAAGTCAAAGTTTCATGCTAATTGGCAAATATTAGCATGCTACTATGCTAATCTAAGATGCTGAACATGGTAAACATTACAATTGGTAAACATCAGCATGTTAGCATTGTCACTCTGAACATGCTAGCATGTTGCCAGTAGCAGTTAGCTCAAAGCACCGTGTTGTTTACTGTCCCAAATACACAGATTTTTGGGGATGATCATTTTCTATTTTGGTATAATTGTGTAATGTGAGCAGTTTATACACCACTAATGGGGAAAAAATAAAACAGAAAATGGCAAAAAAAAAAGTGGCTGATCTTTGCAAAGACATCACACTCATTCCCAGAAAGTACACTTTTTTTTTTTACACACATTTTATTTTAAAGATTTTATAAACACATTTTTTTAAATCTTCTTTTTTTATCTGATATATCTGATATAAAATGCCCATAACAATGCAGCATTTATTATATATTCTTGATATTATTAACACCTTTGCAGTAATCACCATTTCCCAAATGGAACCCAATGTTTGCATTATTTATGATTTGATTCATTGCTCTTTGTTTTCCAACAATATGGAATCAGAACAAAATGCAACATTCATTCATCTCCCTCTTATGGCTTATTTACTCACGCTGGCAACTTAACTCTTCAGAAATGTTCCTCAGACTTGGATTCTGATGAGGTGGTCATGAGTCATGCTGTTGATTTCATTTATTTAAAGACTGGACCTTGTTGTGGCACCGTACAGTTCTGCCTAAGCCACCAGCACATGTTGTTCTGTTCAGACAAAAGTCTTGAGACACTGAGATCGTCTCACTCTCCAACCTATCACGTAAGTGTCTTCTGGATAATGAGCTCTACATGCACTGCCTCCCTCCTTCACCCCTCCATTCACCCCTGATCAACATTTTTCACATTGTTAATCACTTATGTCAGCTTCTGGTAATTATAGACAATTAATCATGTGTGATTCACTGTCCCTCTCTCCGCCAGCATTGTGCTCTACACTGTGTGAGTGAAAATGACAAAGGTGAAACTTGCCTTTATTAAATACGCAGCACCAGGGAGTGAACTCCCCAGTGATAAGCGGCATGTTGCAGTGCTTTGGCTTACACTTCCTTGGGGCAAGCGATAAAGGCCAGGTGGAGATTAAATTACATTAATTCCTTCGCCAGAAGCCCTGACCCAGAATGACTTACAAGACAAGGAGGATGGAGTGATGAGCTGTAGTGAAACTACTGCCAAAGTATTGAAAAATGAATTAACCATCAGTGTCACAACACACTTTGATCCTAACCTGCCATATAAAGTCAAGAATCTCAAACACAATAGGCTGCAGTGGCTGTTACTTAAATTAAAATGCACACTGTACTTATTTATTTCATACATGTGTGAACAGTTGAGTTCGTTCACACACACACACACACACACACACACAAACAAACACACTCACAGTTATTAACGGTTAAATCAGTTTGTTTTTAAAAAACTACACACCCAGTCTGGCAAACATGGATATGCAAACATTGTGTTATCAACATGTGCAGTATCAGTCATTCCATTACCAAGCATAATGTAACCTTGCCTATGATACTGTAAGGTTTTTGTCCTCATTTCCAGTGCTGCTTGCAGGAGTCAGTGTTGGAGGAGACTTTGGAAAGTTTGGTTCTTAAGAAGCTCTGTGATTGTACTCTGTGAAGATGTGCTCCACGCTGCGCTTGTTGGTGCTTATAAGCATAATTGGTAACTACATTTCTACTTCTTCTTCTTGTAATTCAGTGTTTGGATTTTTTTTTAATATGTTGGTCTGAGTTACACAGTGCTTTTAGTAAAAAAAAATTTGGTTTTGTATTTAACTTACTTGAAACCTGATAAACTTGTTGTTTTGTAGGTTGTGTCGAACTGATCACAGTCAGCACTCCACAGAAATATGTCAATGTTACACTGGGTGGAAGTGTCCAACTCCAGTGTATGTTTGAGACTTCTCAGCCGACCACTGGTCTCACCATCCAGTGGGACCTTTATTCAAAGTACTCCGTGACGCCACAGCAGGTAGACACACACACTGCGGCTCAGACCAGAGCTTTGCACCAAATGAGGCACTTTTAATGTTCTTAAGCATCCCTAAAATGTGTAATATTACCAACTGGGGTGGAAGGATGTTCTATATTGTAACATCAGGCGTAGTGACTGTGGTGACTGTGGTTGGTAAAAAATTTGAAAGATGTGAATATTCCTTTGAGTGGTATTGTAAAAGCATAACGTGTTTCTTTCAAGTTTGCAAATGCAGGACAAAGTTACTGTTCTTTACAAAAACAAGGCATGTTTAACTTCATTATTGAAATGCAACACCAGTTGGATTCACACTGGGTGGAATGTATGAAAGAACTCAACATTTCAAAAGATATTCAAAGTTGCTTGTGTATGAAATTACACATAGAAAAGTCAATGCAGTCATTACAAAGCTTAGACATTCATCAAAAACACACGCAGGTTCGCTCCTGTTTTTGCCGCCTAACTGTTAGGGGACACACCTCGCAGAGTCAACAAAGCCTGTGATTGAGGAATCAGATAAAAGCAGATTTAATAAGAAACAGTATTCTGAATGCCTGGGTAACGATTATGATTATTAAAAAAGAGTTTTAAATGAATTTAACTGGACGACTAATGTTTAATTAACTGCCACAGGCAATCAAGTTACTTTTTGAATAAACTGGTACCATTCGCTGGATGTAATTACACCGAAAGTCATTCATTTAGGCCCTGGGGACCTGTTTTTTTTTTTTTCAATTTAACATGTACTAAGTCAAGGACATACTGTTTGTACTACTATGTTTTCGTACAGTTTCTTTTTTACAAGTGACGAATCTGCTTTCTGGAAATGGTCAAAGAAAATGCCTTTAAAGATGTATACATGGTAGAAAACAGTATAAAATGTTTTTGAGGTAACATCGTACTCTGAATGAATTTCGTCGGATAATTTAACTTGTTGCAACTTGCTTCCAGGTGTATTATTATCAATCAGGAAAGGACGTCATTACAAAAGCTTACGAAGACAGACTTCAGGCTCCTTCTTCACCCGCCACGACCAAAAACGCCTCAATAATAATAAGCAACATGCAGTCATCAGATGCCGGAGTCTACACTTGTGAGATTCATAACATTCCTGATGTGTATGGAAAGTCTCAGGCCAGTATCATCGTGAATGTTCTTGGTAAGTTTTTATTAATGGAGGATGTAAAGTAATGGTTAGTTACTTTGAAAAGCAAGAGGTTATTCACCCATTGGTCGTTACATCAAGTAGAAATAAATGTATTCAACTAAATAAGTGAAAGAGTAAAAAAGTATATTATTTTTATGCTAATCAATAATGATCTGTACACATCCAGTCTTGAGAAGCAGTCTAATCGGGCAAAATACACTTTGTGAGTGTACAATGGGTGTGTAATGGAGTTCATACTACTGGACCACACCCATTAGCAGTATCGGAGTAGTTGATTATTTCTGTGTGAGCACGATGCTCTGATGTTGGTTTAAAACTAGCCTTCACAACTGGTCCTTGGTGGAGTCTGACAGCACGAGGTGCTGTTTCTGTGTGAAACAGATCTAATCTCAACCTCGTGTTGGTGCTTAGGCCATTATTTTCCCGCTCGTAAGGGTGTGGCTACCTGAAAAGGGAGAGCCAAAGTACACTGTTCGCCTCTTGGAAGTTTCTGGTCTCAGAGTTTTGTTCCCATAATAATCATTCTGCTTTCCTCACTTGTCTTTTCTCTGAATATTTTTCCTGTGAAAGTAGGACTGCATTAGTCAGGTCTCAGTGAGCTACTCTTTCAGTTTCAGTTTTCAGAGTATTCTTAATATGAAATCCTACATAGAACTGCAACCAAAGCAAGAGTAATTTGATTTCAATGAGATAATTCAGTGCTCTTTCCTATCTGAGACTACTGTATTTGTAATGAGTGTTAGCATTAACACATCTATTAAAATAGTGCCCCTAGATAGTGTGATTAGGGAATCACATTCAGTTTGAATCCTCTCATTCACCGAGTTACCAGGGACAACCTTGCAGGCCTCAGTAGTTTCCATGGTTACTGCAGCAGTCTCCTCATTGTCAGTGTTGGAAATTAGAGTAGGACTGTGACAGCATCCTTGTACTGCATGCAGAATATATATCAGCATCTGCTGCATACTAAGCACACGCCTTGTATTTCATAACCTCAGCCTTTATGAAAATGTTTGCAGGACAGTTTCTACATGCTGAATGTGATGCATGCTTAAGTGCTGCATGAATATGTATGGCTGTTCTCATGCTGATTATCATGGGATCAAAGATGATTCAACATCGTTACATATAATTATAATAATATTTGAGTGAGCAGTCTATCATAAATAACAAATAAGCCTTACCTCTATTGTGAAAACACAATATAATTAAGAATAGTTAGTTATGTCCAATCAATATACTGAAAACCCCAATGATTACTAGGTATAAAATATACAGTAAGGACGCGATCACAACTAGGGAGCAGAGTTGTAAGGCCACTCCCAACACACTTCCTGCCTCATGATGACTAATGTGACGCCCAGATTAACAATAAACAAAGGATTGACCATTTTAACAAACTCAAACCTGTGAAGTGTCTTCAATGCAAGACACATAGACACATACATACATCTTTTCTCTCTGATGTGACTTTCATGACCTCTTTTGAATAAGTAAAGTACTGTCAGTATTAAGATAATAATAATATCCTATTACAGCAACATAGAGCATAAAGTGCAGCTCCTATTGTCAATCAATAATTCTTCAGCTGTGATTACAGACTCATCCTGGCATGGCAGAAAGTGTTGATGAGTTGGGTTGGCAGCACAAAAGCCCAACATGTGTGCTGTCTAAAAGGTTGGCTGTGATAGAGATACTGTGCTGTGCAAATAAACATAAATAATGATCAGCTGGCAGTATAAACAACAACATTGATTTAGTCTTTGACCAATCAAATTGTTCAGTAGAATCTGTTGAATTGTAATCAATATACAGGATAACATAAGCAAATCTTGAGTATAGACTATTGTATGCTATGTTATACTTACATTTCATAGCAAATATTGTACTTTTTACTCCACAAGATTTAGCTTACAGATATAGTTTCTTTTCAGATAAAGACATTACATATAA